GATCCTAATCCCCGGAAGTCAAAATAATAATCCATAAATCACTTAATCTGAATCCCGCAAGTCTTCGGTCCCTTTTTCTATATTAAAAAATACTTCATCCCCAAATCATAAACCTTTCATATATCGATATTCCATTACCCTCGCCCCAAATCTAACAAATTCGTAAAATCAAAAAATAGTCATACCTAGATATCATTCACCTAGAGATCATTCATTTCAATCGAAAAAATATAGAATCTTAAAGACTAGTAAATTATTCCATTCATCATTTCTGATATCAGTCCTGGGCTCAAATTCTGAACTCCACAACCATTCCTAAGGCACCTTCTCAAAATTTGAGCCTCTACCGGACTCCCCCCCTTTCCGGTATCTGCTATCAATTCCCAATCGAATCCCTATTTCTACAAATTCTTGAGACTACTCCTGAAATTCGGGGCAACATTATAAGATATGAGACTCTCAATTATGATATTTCTTCGATTTTCTTTTCATCCAAAAGAACTAGACCCGCATAATCAAGATATATCGAAGATTGAAAGATAATCTCAGTTCTTCAGCTTCATAGCGTCCTTATAAGCATTAAACGTAATCAGTCCACAAAATAGATAGTACAAAAATTCCATACAACCTCAGCGCGAGAGCATAAGATTTTATATTCGAGAAATTCAAAATTATATAAACCAATAAAGAAGTCTTTCAGATCTCAAGTCCTTTTATTCCGAGCCCATATAAGTCCTTCATATCCCCGATCTTCAGACCTTTAATCCCAAATATAGAATCTCGATATCAATCCTATCCCTAATTCCTAGATTTCGGAATCAATCCTAAGATCCCCATCATTTTCTGTAATTCTATAATCTACGTCCCTCTCTCCTGAACCGAGTCCTTGAGTCATAAATCCTTGATTTATATCGTTAAAAATCGGAATCGCGCCATAAAATAGTATTTATAAGAGAATTCGATTTTATTTTCAATATATTCTCTATATAATCTAATGATAGGAGGATATCTAAATAGAAAAAAATTCAATCAATTTCAATCCTATCAATCTTTCGGAATAATAAAGAAAATATTAAGCTCCCAAAAAATTTCTCTGATAAGAACGAGAAACATATTATAATAATATAAAGAAAAAGTCTAAATTTTAGAATTCAAAAAGAATATTTCAATTTTTTTGAAGAAATAATAATTTCAAGATCAATCCCAATTATAAAATTTGAAATCGATTTTATATTCTCGTTCCAAATCTAATCTGATTTTTCTTATCTCCAAAATTCCTCTATCCTGTAAAATCTAGAATCTTAATCTCTTGAAAAAATGAATCTATAATCAAGACTTAAATTCTTAAAGCTGAAAAATTCGTCTCCTAATAAACGAAACTAAGATATCGTTAGCTCCTTTGATCGTCAAATCTTAAATACTGATGAATTTAAACCCCCTACCCGTTAGCCCCAATCTCCGTAAAATCCCGAATCCTAAATCATTCAAAATCAAATTCTTAATCTCCTCAATCAATATCCCTCAACGTCTAAAGCTCTGCATCCGCAACAGAATCCGGAATATATTGAAATCTCGAGATTACTACTTTCCTCAGATCCATATAATCGGATATTAGATTCAGATATCAATCTCGTGCTTAAACTTGACGCACCTACCGATTAATAGAAAATCTTAGCAAATCACCCCGGATCCCAAAATATTATTCCCTAAAGATCAAAATATTCAAGCACTAATTTTCCGGGAATTAGATTCCGACATCCTCCAGTCCTAAATCTTGAATTCCATAGTCAAACCTATATCCCCCATTATAATTCAATCTTCCTAAATATTTGAGATCTTTGCTAACCAGCCCGTCCCGTACTTCCTATCTTGAATTCTTGATTCCTGAATCGAAATCATTCAATCCTCAAGCCTTTGACGCTGCTCCTTGATAATTAATATAATATTATTCTTCATTTATTCAAATCAAATTATTAAATCAAGATAAAGAGGAAATTAAAAGACTATCATGAAAAAAAATAGCCTCTTATAAAATAAAATCTCGCTAGTAATATGGAGATATATAATACCATTCCAAAAAGAAATAAAGAAATTCTGATAAGAGCTACGAATCCGAATATAATTGCGGAACCGATATTCGCTTCAATCCTCACGATCTAAGGAATTCCGCCTTCGCTTGCCTGATTGGAGCGCCGTAGGACACGCGACCTTTGGAATTCCCCCTTAGCAGCCCGAAATGAAACCCACGCAGACGTTTGCGGACGCTTGCAAGATCTGTGGAGTTCCCCCTGAGCTTGCCTCATTCGTTCGCCATGGAAGTTTTCGTATCACCTACGCGACCTATGGAATTCCCTCTCAATTTGCCTGATTCGAATATCGTGGAATTCTTCTTTGACTTGCCTGATTAGTTCGCAATGGAACGTTATATTTTTCTCATATGATTTAAAGAATTCCCCCCTTAGCTTGCCCGATTCGAACGTCGTGGGACGCGCGTTATTTGGAATTCCCCCTTAGCAGCGAGAAACCAGCCCCGTACGGACGCTTACGGATATTTATGAACACTTACGAACGCTTACGAATACTTACGAATGCCTGACAATTTCCCCCTTAATCAACCTAATTCGAACGCCGTCGAATTTCCCGAATTTACTTGATTCACTCGCGGAAAAAGATTTGATTTCCGAACTTTTTACGATTCTACGGAGTTCCCCCGTAATTTACCTGACTCGAATGCCGTGGAAATCCCGATTTCAATATCGTGGAGATGCGCGTCCTATAGAAATCCCCCTTAGCTTACCCGATTCGAGCCCCATGAAAATGCGCCGCATGATCTCCTAGCAGCACGAAATCCTAGAGAATTCCGCTTAAGTTGCCCGATTCGAACGCCGTGGGGATGGAGCTCCCAGCCTTAGCGGCACGAAATCAATTCTTCGCGGACGTTTGCGGATATTTACGAATACTAACGAATTTATTAGTTTGCCCAATTCGAACGGCGCGGAATTTCTCTTGAGCTTGCCTGATTCGTTCGTGAAAGAAGATTATACTTCCCCACGCGACTTACTGCGAATCTCTAGAATTTTTGCCCTGACTTAGCTAATTCGAAAGTTGTCGAGTTCCCGATTCCAATATCGTCCCCTGCCCTGCCCGTCATTCGAGCCGATTCGAACGTCATCGAGATACGTATCTTAGAGAATTTCCCATGAATTTGCGTCCTTTAGAGATCCCCCTTAGCACCGCGAAATCAAATTTATTCGAATTCACACGAACAGTTAGGAACGCTTACGAAAGCTTCTAAATATTACGCTCGTATTTCGTATCAACCCCTGACCCCCCAGATCCCCCAATAAATTCTGAGATCCAACCTAATTCTTTAGTTATTTGACAACCCCGTGACTCTATGTATCCCCGATATTGCCCGTAAACCCCCAAGTCCCTATAGAAAGAAGCTTAGATTCTTGCAGCTTTAGTCCGCTCTCGGCACCTATCGCCTACGCCCCGAATCCTTCGTCCCCATTTTGAAATCTTTCATATATCGATGCCTTTATGCTCTATTCCTAGTCCGAACACACTCGTAAAATCAAAATCATTCAATCCTAAATCCTAATCGCTTCAAACAGTAAAATTTCAACTCCAAAGTGATGTAACCGACTCCAAGCGGGCCTAGGGTTTCAATATAGTCAGTTTGCCATGAGGAGACGATCGTGAATGGAAGAATGGTCATAATGAGATTACCGTGAGTGCAAAGTGCTGAAAAGAGTTACGATATGTAAATCTTTGGGGTGCCTTTTTTGTATATATGTGTGTAAAGTAGTACCTTTTATTGTGAATGTAGATATGGGATATCTCAATATGTAGATGGATTTCCAGATATCCATAAATCATATATATATATATATATATACATATATATATATATATGTATATATATATATATATATATATACATATATATATATACATATATATATATATATATATATATTTATATATATATATATGAGCATACATATATAACAAGAAGAAGAAGCCACTATAATAACAGTAATAAGTGTAACAGTAACAGTACCAAACACATAGCAGATATATATATATATATATATTTATAGACTATCCGTACAAGAGGAGCCGATCTAGCAAGGTACACAGTTACACAGCCCAATGGATGAGATTTTCGATTTCCAAACCTGATAATCGTTATGTCAGGCTATGACTCGACAGAAGTGCCTCTGTTGGGCCCTTCTTCAAGATATGTGGGACTCGCAGCACCATGACAAGATCCAAATTGAATCACTGGCTCAGATCCGCTGTCTACTCCACTTCGAGAGAAGCCCCATCCGCATAGGAGAGGTGAAAAGCTCCGAGGCAGCTTCAATACACAGGACATGTGAGAGCTCGCGGAAACACTGTACAAACGCTTGAGCATATCGGCTGGAGCAATGGCATCTCGCCAAAGTCTTCTCGCTCTCCTGCCTAGCGTCCTCCAAGAAAAAATAACTGAAAGTATTGTGGTACTCCTACGAGCATCAGAAATCCTGAAGCATACCGGAAGGGTCTTTTCTTAGCAGGCTTGACAACGCATGGCAACAGAGCGTGAAGCTGTAGTTTCTGGTTCTCCGCACACATGCACTCAACTGTTGCAGGAGCGACGTCCAAGTGCAAAAGTCGGCAGATGATTCTTGTACTCTCCATTTCAGGTGAAATGATGTTTCTTGGCGGGGACTGAAACAACTGCGCATGCAGTGCCGGATCTTTAAAGACAGCTCCTCCGGCCCGACATTCAAACATATCCCAAGCAAACCACAGAGCACCCTGCTTGCATCCATAGCAATGGAGCCATCAAGCTACCATTCAAAGCTCAGATCAGTGCGAGCTCCTGGACCATGGATGCTTTAGGGGTTCAGTTCGGGGACCATCCGCAGTAGATCCTGAAAGATCTTGCATGGCGGCGAGTCAGACACGCCCGGGCCAGCATGCACGGAGGAACAAGCCCAGCAAGGCTCAAATGACGTCAGGATCTGGGCAACTTCGGACTTTGGGACTGTGTTGTTCATGTGATCGATGCCCAGCACCTTTAAGCATGTCTGCACAGATGGCAGGCATGCCATGCACAAACGAATTGGCAAGGAAGACCATGCCAGCCACATCGTTTGAAGGATGTTGGTTGTCTCAGAATGACTCAGCCGAGAAACAAAGTCTCAACAGCAAGACTGCGAGACCTGCTGATGCTGATGCGTGCTGCTTCTTGCACCAGAAACCCTCCTTGGTTCCTCCGGCAGGTGTCAGCATCGGCAGGCAGCCCTTCTTCTATCCGAAAGGCGGACATAGCAGCCACACGCATGCGTTTCTGCTACAATGGCCGAGCAAGAAAACTTCAGGCAGCGACTCCCTGAAGCAGCTGCTCAGCATGCGCAATGGCTCCTGAGGCTGCTTCGGGACCTTGGGATGAGCTGCACAGATCAAGAACTCGGACACCGGAAGGGTGGTAAATGAACATGGGCGCGGAAAAGACGCACCAAGCCCCTGCTTATGCAACAGTCTTCTCTCGGCGGATGTCCTTGGGCCCTCGGCCACCGAAAGCCCGTGCACGCCGTATGGCGCCTTGAATGACTTTCGTGCGCTTAGTCTTCCAGTCGAGACCGGAAAACATGGCAGCTGCACGCATCGCCGTGTCCAGCGGCGACATGTCACCTGCCTCGTCCTCGTCAGAAAACATGCGAAGTATGCCACGGCATGCCGGGAGTCCAGACCTATTGATCCTGCAGGAACAGCAGATTCCTACACGCCTCGCCGAGGGTGCCTGACGGCTCAGACTGGGCAGCGACTTGCTGTGCCTCCGCACCTTCGGGCACGTATGGTCAGTGTCCGAACGAGCGACCCAAAAATCTTTATTTGAAAATAGATCTGCAGCCCGAACCAGCGAGCTGCAGTGTCGCGTTACTCAGAGTGCAACGACACAAGAAAGACAGCTCTGCGGCTGAGGCAGCCGCCACCGAACGCACGTGCACGTCGCACAGCACCTTGAGCATGTCCCAAGCCCTGTGCCCTTAACCCTTAGACCCTATGCTCGCATGCCAGAACGAAACGCAAACATGCCAGTACTGCGCAGTGTACTACCCATTGGCGAGTCCTCGTCTTCTTCATCGACAGCCTCACGGTGTTTGACAGCCCGCTTAGACACAGCAGTTGCGCAGCCGCTGCAGCTGAACGACAAGTCATTCCGTCAAGTCAGGCCAGCTGGCATCTTAACTGTACGCCAGTGTACCTCGTTGCTCACTCCCAGCCGCGCAGCTGCACGAGCACTGGCTGCTTGTGCCTGTTCTGCACCTCGGCCAAGGTGTCTCCACAGCTCTGAAGTATTCCCTGGAAAGAATTTCCAACCAGGGCCATGGCCGCCAAAAGCCCTCGCTCGGCGTATTGCGCCTCATGACAAGACTATCTTCTCCGAGGATGATTGGCCGTCACCGCAATGAACATCTCCGACTGCAAGCACGGCAGGACGACGCATGGCACTGTCCAATGGGGAGTCGTCGCTATCGATGGTCTCTGCAACCTTGAAGACTCAAAACACACCCGTCGTCACACTTCGGCACGACGTGACAAGCCCAGACCTCGTCACCTGCGGCACCGAATCGCACGGCTGCCCGAGCGCTCGCTGCCTGTGCCTTCTCGGCGCCTTAGGGCCCACCCCTAGGGCCAACAGGAAAAGAACATCACGTCATAATGGTCATAGTCAGTCATCATCAGCATCATCAGGTCACACAGGTGCAAAAGTTTCGAAACGAGGACAGATGTGACAAACAACGTAGATGCACGCGCTTGGCAGAAACATCTTTGGCCCTTCGGAGGTCAGATCTCAAGAATGCCACGAGAACGCATGTACTCTCCGCAGTGCGAGATCAAGAGGACTGCAGGATCGGGGGCAAGACGAGGGGAGAGTCAAAGCAGCTGACACTGGTCGAGATCTCAGGCTGTCACCACCGAAGGCACCAGCACGCCGAATAGCGCCTGCCACTGGCATGTCATCACGATTAAAAGCTCGTTTGCAAGAACGGGCAAGCACGGCAGCAGTGCACAAAGCTGTGCCGATGGGCGAGCTGTCAGCTGGCTCTTCCTGCACACACATGCACACAGGGACAAAAGACATGTCAAGTGTCCACACAAGCTTTGTTTGCATGCACCCAAGTCTGCCACTGAACTCAAATGTCATGCCACATGATCCGGATGCAAAACTGTGAAAATTCTCTAAGCCCATCTACAGCATAGCTAACTTAGCTATGTAGATGCGTCAGTCTTCAAGATATGTGGTGTACGCATTGCATTTAACCCTGTGCAGATCGCAACTTCTTACCCAGAAGTTTGGCCTTTCTTTTCAGGGGCGATGGAGCTTTGGTTGCATCCGTAGAGTCTGACCTTGTTGCGGCAAGGTGGAAATCCAATAACTCAAAGCTGGCTGCGAGTACCTCTTGGCTTTCGGAAGTGGCACTGCAAGCGCCCGCACTCTGCCCCCACTGAATCAGCTCCTGACGGCAGGCCCTGGAATGAACGCGATCTCCTCGAATCGCAACAGCTTGCAGGAAGATAAGAGGCAAGCATCCGCAGCGCTTTTCTCGAAAAAGCCGCTTGCTTTTCTGTCAAGACTCTTGTTCAGCAGCATATTCGTGCCAACAGGAGACACATCTGGACCTGGATGGCATTCCAACATGAAGGCTAGCATACAACATCTGACGAAACCGGCTTTGCAGCCTGCAGCCAAACGAAACAGCACATCGAATGCTGGCATGCAGTCGCACTGGTCTGCCTTGAAGTGAAACTGACTGAGCTTGGGACTGAAAGCCTGTCAACAATGTACTATGACGGTTTGTGGTGGTTGGAACCCTCAAGGCATGACCGTCCCAACCTTTGACCGTTGCACCGCACCACGTGACAGCTCTGGCCTGATGGCTCGCACCTTTTGGGATAAACGGCAACGACAAGGTGTCCGGCCTGAGGCATGCACGCAAAGCTGCAAGCTTCGCTAAGAAACAAGACTGCACCGCAGTGGACTGTTTCCGAAAGTGCATCACAAGGCATTCAAACTCTTGCGGATTGTTCTCACCATTGGCCACTTGCAGCAGCATTCTGGGCCCAACAACAGGCAATATCAGGCCCTGGCATGTTCAGCCAAGCAGAAAATGACCACTCCTGATCAACACAAACACCCACATGGTTGATGCAAACAACGGATTTAACATGGTCCACTGCCGACCATGGAAACGCATGCACCAAGAACACATCTGCCTCTGTGGTGTAGACTACCCGATGCAGGCTGCAAATGCATGAGGTTTGAGCCGGAGGCATTGGCAATGCTAGTCGAAATCCGCAACCGCTGATGCCCCTGCCCGGCTACGCAAAACCAGGGTATTCGCTTGGCGGATAATCGAAGCATTTCACGTTGATCAGGTCCAACACTGGCTTGGAAGCAAAACACGAAACATTTTGCAACTGAAACATGCGGGGAAAACCCGCTTGATAAATGAAATGAAAGCAATTGCCGCACCGGCTTTCGAGTGCGCAATATCCTTACTTCGACTTGAGACAGCTGATGTCCCCATTCTCTTGTTTACAAGATTTACACAACTGTCTCAACTGACGACCGACAACATGCCGTTTCGAATCACAAACCAACATTTCTCGTCACGCGCAACGAAATGCAAGCTCCCTTTTTGACGAAGATCTGGTCTCGAACGACTTCCACCAGCGAAGTTTGCACACACTGCTGTCTGGCCCACGCTTATCTGCCTGCAACCAAGGCTCCTCCGGCACATTGATCTTCTCACTTTTGGTGTGCAGCCGAAGTCTTACTCGTCTCTGTCGTATGGACAGCTTCGGACGGTCCATAACGTCAAAGTTTGAACTCAGAGCAAACCTGCTCTGACTTGAAAATTTCAAAGTTGGTTCGTTTCTTCTCCTCTCGTTTTGCTTTTGTTCGCGAAAACCCCGAAAAGCAATTTCTTGGCTTCTCGTTTGATGGTGTTTCATGATTCTTCCTTTCTCAACTTGTTTTTTTCTTCGCGAGAACCCCATAAAGCGATTTCGTGCACCTTCTTCTTGGCGAACCTGGAGGCGGAGGCCAACAACCTGAGAACCTTACATTCGCAGGTTTTGGTTCAGAGTTGTCGAAGGGGAGAGACGGAAGAAGGAAGAGGAAGCACTGGAAGGACGCGTCATAGGAGACAGCATGGCCACTCAAATCTTAACGATGACAGGCTGCCAGCAAGGGAGTCAGCAACCCGCTTTCGAAGTTAGGGGACGCGCCTACTGTTGGCGCTGCGCTTGGTAAGAATGCAGCAACGTTCAACTTGATTGTTGGAAACGAAAATATTCAAAACAAGCATTAACTGGCTACACTTTGAAGTTCTCCGGCTGCATGTTGCTGAAGAAATGGTCGCTCCGCGTCCAGATTGTGCGATTCCAAAAAAATGAGCTCGAAAGTGGCTCGCCAGCACCAAAATGCAGGCCCCAAAATGCGACCGTTTTCTGAGCCTCGGCTTCTCACTCTTGTTTTGAATTCTCAATTCCACAAAAGTGATCGCCGTTTCTCTTTTTGCTTACGCAGCCACTCCATCCAACAGCACAGCTTATTGAGCTGTTGCAGATTCATGGACAACGACAGCAACAATGTTCTGTGGCTTGAGCTCTGCAATCGAACAAATGTAGAAAACATACTCCCACGTTTTCGAAGGGTTTTTCGGCCTCGAACATGAGTCCGTCAATCTGTCAAAATGAAAGTCGAAACAAGGTCGATATTCGGGAGGCTCCCACATGAGTTTGCCCTGTGCAGCCTACAAATTCGGTTTGCTCTCCGGCTCTCTGTCATGTTTCATTGTGTGGAACCCCATCAGCAAAAACGTTAAACCCAACAAACAAACTTTATTTTTGGCGTGGGCGGGCCTCAAAGACAGCACCAGTCAGAACTACAACAATGCCAAGAACAAAATCAACTGACAAAGAAAAAACGTGCAAACAAGGTGAGACAGGCAGCGACTAGCAGACTTCGCCGGCAGACGTCGTTCGGCAAGACATGCCCAGAACCTAGCAACTACCACCGCTCAGATGCCCTGCTTCCCAGTCGTACTGAGTTGCGCAAGGCACATAAATTGCCCGCATCAAAAGGGAGCCGGCAAAACAACATTCCCTTTCCGTCCATTTTGTCACTTGGTCCAGCTTCCCAGTTTGTGTAGAAGAATGCGCCCAAGCACGCATAAAGCGGAGAGCGTGCCGCAGTGGCAAGTGCATGAGCAACGTTAATTCGAGCCTCGCAGGGCAGATACACTGATTTTTGCACTCTGACGGCAGACCAGACAGCACTGGACAGGCACGACTGCATTTTGCTGAGCAGCTGTGGATCGAACTTGTCTCTTCAAGATCTGGTGCTTGGTCAACTCCATCAGTGAACTGCAAGGTCAGCACATCATTTTTTGGCGTGGGCGGGCCATAGACAGCTGCTGTCAGTTGTTCCGGCATCCACCAACCAGCACACTTTGTGGCAAAAGCGCGCTGCTGCTACCATTGTCTGTTGTGCAGAGCCATCAGCTGTGTGCAAGTCCTGAGCGAAGGTGAAAGATGCGTACATGCTCCAACCAACGGCACTGCAGGTCTAGCTTTCCAACATGGGGTCTTGCAAGAACGGTCCAGTGCGAGCACAATGTGACAGAGGAGCCGCAATGAAAGCCAAGTCTTAGTCCAGCTGTCAACCAGGTCCAGCCTTCTTGGCGCAGCGCACTTTCGGAGGAGTCTGGGTCGCGACCAACCAGTTCGTACGACTTGGCTTTCAGGTGCGCCACTATTCTACACATCGATCTCAAAGCCTTAAAAGACACCTGACCGGCTGTTCGGTTGCTGTAGGCTGTCTTAGGCTTCTATGAGAGTGTGAGCTCTGTCAGCTCGACGCGGAATATGCTTCCAGATATCGGCTGTTCCAAGTGGCGTGTAACTTGGCATTCATATACGTACCCTTGTGCAAATTGACCTGGAGACAGTGGTACGATTGTTTCAGTGTCCCCGCCTCGCGTATTACGTTGGAGCGAACCAACATAGGTTTTTGGGGAAGGTGTTGGCCCCAAGGTTTGGAACTTAGAGTTCCAAACCCAGGGTTCTGGAATTCCGAACTAAGAGTTATCGAAGCCCCGAACCCTGGGTTCGAACTTTGAGTTGAACTCCAAGTTGAATTCAACTCCGAACTTCTTGAACTGGAGTTGAACCTGGATTTGAACTCTAAAAGGCGAAAGGTTTGAAGCCAGGGTTTGAACATAGAGTTTCCGAACCCAGAGTTCGAACTCTGGCGGTCCTAAAGAGTTGAGACCCAGGTTTCGAACATTGGTTTCCGAACCCAGAGTTCGAACATGGAGTTTCCGAACCCAGAGTTCGAACTCTTGTCTCATTGCTTCTTGTTCTCTCATTTTATTTTTTTCGCAAAAACACCATTAGCGATTTCGTGTGTCTTCTTCTCTTTTGCTTGTGCTTGCGGTTGAGTTTGTGGTTTCTGTCATTGTAGTGTGCTCTCAGTAATTTTATAAAATTTTTGCCGACCAGGACAACAACAAAAATGTTCTTTCTTCGTATGGTTCCAGAAGACTGGAAGGGGAGTTGGAGGAGAGGTATTTGAACCCAAAGTTCAAAAGAGTCGAATCTCGAGACACTGCTTCGAAGTGTTTTGAACCGTGAGTTCAAACACCAGTGCAGGTTTCGAACTCCAAGTACATGTCGTTGTATTGTGGTATTGGAAGTATTAGTAGTAATACTTCCAGGATTAGTATGTCAGTAGTCTTGATTGCGTTCGTAGCATTAGTAGTATTCCTTGTAAATTGTAGTACTTGTGGTATTATGAGTATTAATAGTTTCAGTTGTACGAGCTGTATTAGTAGTATTAGTAGCATTAGTAGTATTAGTAGTATTAGTCGTATTAGTAGTTTTAGTAGTATTAGTAGTATTATTAGTATTAGTAGTATTAGTAGTATTAGTAGTATTAGTAGTATTAGTAGTATTAGTAGCATTAGCAGTATTAGTAATATTAGTAGTATTAGTAGTATTAGTAGTATTAGTAGTATTAGTAGTATTAGTAGTATTAGTAGT